AGTAAATTGCTAACTTTAGTCATCATCGGGATTTTTTTTATAATTGGTGACTTTTCTCTGTACTAAACAAATGTTGAGCAAGAAAAATCGGTGCTCATTCACCTGATACAGAAAAGTATTTCTCCATTCCAGCCGTACGCATCATATGGATGACGGGAATTCTTCCGATGAGGAGGCTGCGGGTGGAAGAGAAGCCGATGCTGCGGAACAAAGACTACATAACAGACACTTGTAAGTAGCACCCTAACCCTGTTCGTTAAAATTTTATGTGGTTCCGCTGCTCTCTCGACAGTTGTGTTCTTTACGGCTTGAGAGTGTAGAAACCGTGAATTCTCCAAATAGTGGTCAAGTCATCAATCGAATTGCACCCCATTTTCATGTATCTTGACAAGTGTACAAAAAATTGAAATCAAACGCACTCGTCGTGGTGAGAAGAACCAGCTAGTTGTCAGTCGTGTGTAGCTAACAATTGAGGATGAGTGACTGCCCGATCTGCTTTAAGAGTAGCTTAAGGTCCATCTAAATAGGCCATGTAGCTATTTTTTGATCAACGCGAAATTATCTTTCTGTGTCGTCGTTGTTCATTGTTTGATGGAGAGATCTTCAGAGATGATGCAGCAGAGTATGAAGGCGAGGAAGAAGATCGTGGCCAAGTTGAAAACGATGACGAAGATAAACAGGTAGCTTCAGTAACAAACTTTGTCTTTGATCTTTTGACTTGGGCATTTGTGAATTCCTCTCCCAAACTAATTTTTTCCCAATCTTGTTTACTCGTTTGGTGACATATGGTAGTGGTATACCAACGAAAGATTTCTGTGTCATTAGTCCTGCTCTTTCTGTTGACTCTTGAGTGCTTTCTTCTTCCGAGCTTCAGTCCTGTACATCATCGATTTTTTTTCTTTTGTAGACTTTCAGCTGGTTCTGTCCAACACTTGTGCCCATACAGCAATGGTCTAGAGTGCTGTCTCACGTCTGCACATTTTCAGGACAGGGGTTTTATTCCGACGCCAAACGCTAAACCATACTTACCATTAGTTGAGCTGCAGAACTTCAAATTTCGTATGCGTTATAAATTTTGTTTGGCCCGAACAGTGGCTGTATGCTCAGCAAATGGTTATATCAGTATTTTTGCGCTCCTGGGCTAAAGTGAAATCATCATCTGACCCGCAGTAAAAAAGATGCTCGGTTGATCTATGCACATCTGTGCACAACCGACTCCTTAACTGTGCGCTGATAGCAGCGCATCTTACCACTACGACTCCACATATACATACATTGACTCAGGATTGTTTCTAATTAACCTTTTTTTCCCATTTGGTCCTTTGACTTCGTGATAGCTGGGCTTAGGGAAGCGACTTGACTAATCATAAACTTTCGAATGATCTCCTGATTCCATGAACAGGTTTGAATGGTTTTCGAACTTCAAGGTCC